TTTTTAAGGAAAGAAGCGTAGGTCTAGGAAAACACAAGAAACGCTGGTGAGTGAAGAGACGCTTTGCCATGGTGAACGCAGTGTTCAAAGCACTTTGCAAATATTAAATTGTTTAATCCTTGTAAAGACCCCATGGGGGCAGATGAGAAGCTGACACACATGGAGGGTGCTCCCTGTAGAGGGCTGAAAGGTGCCCTTCTACCCCTGTGAAGATATGTCCTAACCCCCAGGACCTGTGAACGTACACTTATTTGGAAAAAGGGTGTTTACAGATGTACCTAAGTAGAGAATCTTGAGATGGGGAGGTCATCCTGGAGTAGACCAAGAACACTCGTTGCCGTCAAGTTGATTCTGACCCGTAGCAACCCTATAGGACAGGGCACAACTGGCACATAAGCTTTCCAAGGAGTGGCTGGTGGGTTGGAACTGCCGACTTTTTGGTTAGCAGCCAAGCTCTTAACCACTGCACCACCAGGGCTCCTCCTGGAGTAGAGTGGACCCTAAGTCCCATGAGGGTGTCCTTATAAGAGACAGAAAAGGAGATGCAGACACAGGGGAGAAGGCCTTGTGAAGACAGAGGCAGAGATTGAAGTGATGCGGCCACAAGCACAGGAATGCCTGGGGCCACCAGAAGGTGGGAAGAGATGAGGAAAGATCCTCCCCTAGACCACTACCCACACCTTGATTTCAGACTTCTGGTCGCCAGAGCTGTGAGAGAATAAGTTCTTGTTGTTTTCAGCCCCCCAGTGTGGGGTAGTTTCTTACAGCTGCTGCAGGGGACTCATACAAGAGCTACATTGTCTGAGTGTTCTAGGCAGTGTGGGCATCACCTGAGTAGGACATGCAGAATTCCAGCCCCACCCACACCTGTGCACTGGAGCCTGCATTTTAGAGGGATCCCCAAGGGGTTGGGTGCAGTTTTCTGTCTGAGAAGCCCTTGGTGAAGTGATCTGCCCAATTTGGGGCTAACAAGTGGGGAGCTGGGATTTGAACCTGGATCACCTGGTTTCTGAGGCTGGGCCCTTAACCCCTACGCTCCACATCACATGTCATGGTCTGGGAATACATCTTCTTCATGGATTGAGAAACATCTTTCCTGTCCTTTCTCTTCACATAGATATTACTCAAAAAAATAAAGCAAGACCATCGTGTGCATGGTGCTTTGCAATCTTTTAATAACAGTAAGTGGGACTTGAAAAACATCTGAATCATGTCTATCAAGATGCCTTTTAATGGTTCCTCAATATATGAGTTTGCCGTAGTTAATTCCACCCTGTTGTGCATTGAGAAATTTTTTATAGTATGGATAAAGTGATGATGACTACACTGAATGGAAATCTTTATACACTGCTCCGCTGGTTTGTTTGGGATAATTTCCCACATGTATTTCTATTGTTTTCTCAATATGGGCAATTTTCTCCCTTCAGAAACTTTTGACAATAAGTTGTAGACCTGATGCCTGTGTGAATAAGAACGTGCTCTTATATAACCACAGCATAATGATCAAAATTGGGAAATTCACATTGGTAGGATATTACTAATTTACAGACTCTATTTGAATGTTACAAGTTGTTCTACCAATGTCTGCTCCAAAGGAAAGCAGTCCAGTCCAGATCCAACCCAGCTTTCCATTTGCTTTAATCTCCTTGAATCTGGATCAATTTCTCAGGCTGTGTTTATTTTTCATGACTTTCTGCATTTTGAAGGGTTATTAGTTGTTCTTAGGTGTCGTCAAGTTGGTTCTGACTCATAGCAACCTTATGTACAACACAACAAAACACTGCCCAGTCCTGCACCATCCTCACAATCATTGTTATACTTGAGCCCATTGTTGCAGCCACTGTGTCAATCCATCTCCTTGAGGATCTTCCTCTCTTTCGCTGACCCTCTACTTTACCAAGCACGATGTCCTTCTCCAGGGACTGGTCTCTCCTGATAACATGTCCAAAGTATGTGAGATGAAGTGTCACCATCCTTGCTTCTAAGGAGCATTCTGGCTGTATTTCTTCTAAGACAGATTTGTTTGTTCTTTTGGCAGTCCATGATATAGTCAATATTCTTCACCGACACCATAATTCAAAGATGTCAATTCTTCTTCAGTTTTCCTTACTTATTGCCTAACTTGCCCATGCATATGAGACGATTGAAAACACCATTTTGAAGGGTACAGGCTAGTTATCTTGCGGAATGTCCTTCCATCTGGGGATTGTCTGATGTCTTCCATGATTAGGTCCAGGGTATACATTTTTGGCATGGATACTCTGGCACGAGCATCACAGAAGCGACGGTGTGTCCTTCTCAGGACATTCTTTCAGGAGGAGCATAGTGTCTCTTTATCCCAATTCTTGGGATGTCCACTTGGATCACTTGATTCTGAAGGCGTCTACCAGTTGTCTCCACATTAAAGTTAGTACCTTCCGCTGTGTAATTACCAACAGTATTGCAGGGAGTTATTTTGGATCATGTAAATACCCTGTTTCCATACTTTTACCCACAAGTTTTATCACTCACTGATTATTCTTGCCTGAAAAAGATATGACTATGGTGACTGTCAAATGGTGATTTTTCTAATTCTATCATTCTTTCTAATGTATTTGTTCGCATTTTACTGTAAGGAAATCTTTCCTTTCTCTCCCAAATTCATTCATTTATGTTGGTATTCATTTATATTAGTATGAATTATATATATTATAATACATATTATATATTGCTATATTCATTTATTCACATATTATTCCTACAGGTAGCCCCAGACTTCTGACATATTTGAGTTATGGCGAACTGTACTCATGACCATCCTTTTTTTTTGTACATCTTATCGTTAGTAATATGTTGCAGCATGTAATTTGCAGATGTTATCATTCTCAGATGTTCACTCGCAGATATTCAGTTTTGTGACTTACTGTTCAAAACAATGCTGGATTTATAAAGATACTGATAATAAAAAGCAATAATAATGAAATCTAAAAAAAAAAAAAAAAAATGAAGTATTTGACCCATACCAGAACCAACTTAGGATGGAGTTGTCAGAAGAGAACCCCATCGTAAGTTGGGGACTTTCTGTATGCAATGTAATGTAATGTAATCACCATCCATAATGTAATGTAAATGTTATATATATAATGGTAGATAGATTGGAGCCCTGGTGGCACAGGGGTTAAAGTGCTCAGCTGCTAATGGAAAAGTCAGTGGTTCGAACCCACCAGCCACTCTGTGGGAGAAAGATGTGGCAGTCTGCTTCTGTAAAGATTACAGCCTTGGAAGCCCCATGCGGCAGTTCTACTCTGTCCTAGAGGGTCACTATGAGCCGGAATCCACTCAATGGCAACATGTTTGGTTTGGTAGATAGCTAGATGATAGAAGTAGAGGTAGATAGATTATATATTATTATATTATAATATCCACTGCCATCGAGTTGATTCTGACTCATAGCAACCCCATAGGGTTTCCAAGGCTGTAAATCTCTATGGAAGTAGACTGCCACATCTTTCTCCATGGAGCTGCTGGTGGTGTTGAACCACTGACCTTTCTGTTAACAGCCGGATACTTATTATAGTATAATAGATAATATACAAAACCAAACCAAACCTATTGCCATCGAGTCGATTCCGACTCATAGCGACCCTGTAGGATAAAGTAGAACCGCTCCACAGGGTTTCCAAGGAGTGGCTGGTGAATTCGAACTGCCGACCTTTTGGTTAGCAGTCAAATGCTTAACCACTACACCACCAGGGTCCCAGATAATACATAAATAACAAATAATATATAATCTCATATGTGATGATACATGTGTATGTATGTATGTATGTATCTCTCTATTTATCCATCTACCCATCAAACTAAAGAAGCCCTAGTGGCACAAGGGTTAAGTGCTTGGCTGCTAACCAAGAGGTTGTCGGTCTGAACCCACCAAGTGGCTCTGTGGGAGAAACACCTGGAGATCTGCTCCCATAAAGATTACAAGCTATAGGGAACCTTATGGGGCAGTTCTGCTCTGTCATGTGGGATTGCTGGGAGTAGAAATTGATTCAACAGCATCTAATAACAACATCTATCTATCTATCTGTCTGTCTGTCGGTCTACCTATCTCTGTAACCATCCACCCATCTGCCTACTTACCTCTCTGCTTATCCTGATACCTCCACGTCCAATCCAACACCACCAGGTTCATCTAGGCTTCCATCTGTCCCTATCTCTACCTCCCTTCTCAGCCAGTGAGAAAGCCGGCACCTGTTTTCAACAATATAGTTATACGTGTGCTCAATTCTACCATACACACATTAATCATCTTCAGAATTGCTAACCCAGACTTCTGCCCCCAAAAAAGCATGCTTACTAACTAGTCACTCACCTCTCAAAGCAAAGACTGAAGAATTCGTGCATCCTTCAGCTTTTCCTCAAGTTGCCGTGTGTGGTGTTCCCAGTAAGATAGTGAGGTTGGTTGACGGGGGACAGAATCCACTGTCTTTTTATGTGCCCGTGATTCTGGGTCACTGGGCATACAGTCAGCGCTGTCTGTTCAATTCCACTAATGCCTGGCCTTTAAGAGTTATTGTCGAGTTGACTCCAACTCATGATGACCCCATATGGACCAGAGTAGAACGGTGCTGTGTAGGGTTTACAACGGCTTTGACCTTTTGGAATTAGATAGCCAGGGCTTTCCTCCAAGGCACCCCTGGGTAGATTTGAACCTCCAACCTTTTGGTTAGCAGCCCAGCACTTAGCCATTCGCCCCGCCCAGGGACTCCTTATGGATGGTCATTACTCATTGCAAAAAGAAAAAGGAAGGCAGCCATAATGTCTCTCTCTCTGGGCCAGTGAGCTTCCTGATCAAGCTTTACATAGCATGCAGGTCCTGGTTCATTTGTGAAAATCTTGAGTTTTTTTGTCCCCTTAATGCCCTGTACCATTCTTATGACAGGGATGCGGCCATCAAGTTTCAAATTTCAAGCTGCGTTCAGCATTGCCTCAAAGCATAATCTCTTTTTGTCTCTTTTTAGACCCAGAAGAAGCCGTGCAGCTTCAGTTCATCAACTTTAATTTTGATACCGTGTGGGTTACATGGAACGCAAGCCAATACCCTGGGACTAATTTGACTTTCTCCTATAAGTAAGTGCCCTCAGGCAGGGAATCTGATGCCCTGCGCTCAAACATCTCTTCTTCTGAGACGTCAGAAACTGGGAAAGCCGGGAAGGAAAGATGAGAACCAAAACTTGCACGTCTGAGTGTGTGCTTTCTATTCCGACCTCAGCCCACACAACAATCACAGTTCTCTAAACCTTGCAGCCGAGTGATGACTGAGTCATGCACAAAAACACTTAGATTCTTACCAGGACGTTCACCGAGTGCCTTCTTCTCCCATCTCAGCGGCTGCCCTTACTGATAGCTCTGCAGCCTTGAAACCTTATCTGCTACGTGGCTGCGGCAGAGATTCATGATCTGAAATGTTCGCATCAAATGTTATGGATTGAATTGTGGATTGAAATCCTAACCTCTGAACTAGTAAATGGAGCCCTGGTGGTGCAGTGGTTAAGAGCCTGGCTGCTGACCAAAAGGTCCGCAGTTCGAATCCACCAGCTGCTCCTTGGAAACCCCATGGGACAGTTCTACTCTGTCCTATAGGGTTGCTATGAGTCGGAATTGACTCAACGGCAACGGGTTTGGTTCAGTTGGGCTTTGTTATAGTATGTAACTATAATATACTATATTATGTCATATTACACATTACAATATAATATGTTATATTATAGGGTTGCCGTAAGTCAGAATCTACTTGATGACAACCAACGACAACGTTATAATAACTATAGAATAATAAGGAGCCCTGGTGGCACAATGGTTAAGTGCTCAGCTGCTAACCAAAAGGTCGAGGTTCAAATCTACCTGCCACTCCTTGGGAGAAAGATGTGGCAATCTGCTTCCGTAAAGATTTATAGCCTTGGAAACCTCATGGGGCAGTTCTGCTCTGTCCTATGGGGTCGTGATGAGTTAGAATCGACCTGTCGGCAAGGGGTTCGGGTAGTTTTGGTACGTGTACATATGACCCCATTTGGAAACAGAGGTTTTCTTTTATTACGTTTATGAGGTCATGTCAGAGCAGGGTGGGTCCTAAACCTAATAAATTCTGAGTCCTGTTTTATAAAAAGAGAAGAATAGGCACACACACACAGACACCACACACCACACACACACACCACACACACCACACACACTACACACAGATTTCTAGGGGCCACCTTCCAGCAACATGCCTCCCTGACGTAGGCTCATTTGCTTTGCCTTATGCACCCGAGGGAGCCCTGGTGGCACAGTGGTTAAGTGCTTGGCTGCTAATCGAAAAGTTGGCGGTTCTAACCCACCAGCTGCTCCACAGGAGAAAGATGTGACAATCTGCTCCCGTAAAGATGACAGCCTTGTGAGGGGCTGGGGACCATGGTCTCGGGGGACATCTAGCTTAATTGGCAGAACATAGTTTATAAAGAGAATGTTCTACATCCTACTTTGGTGAGTAGCATCTGGGGTCTTAAAAGCTTGTGAGTGGCCTTCTGAGATACTCCACTGATCTCACCCCTTTAGGAGTAAGGGAGAATGAAGAAAACCAAAGACATAAGGGAAAGATTAGTCTAAAGGACTAATGGACCACAACTACCACGGCCTCCACCAGACTGAGTCCAGTACAACTAGATGGTGCCTGGCTACCACCACTGACTGCTCTGACAGGGATCACAACAGAGGGTTCTGGACAGAGCTGCAGAAGGATGTAGAACAAAATTCTAACTCACACACAAAAAGACCAGACTTACTAGTCTGACAGAGACTGGAGAAACCCCTAGAGTATGGCCCTCGGACACCCTTCTAGCTCAGTGGCGAAGTCACTCCTGAGGTTCACCGTTCAGCTGGGGATTGGATAGCCTCATAAAACAAAACAGGACTAATGAGACACAGCAGTCCTGGGGCAAGGACTAGAAGGCAGCAGGGGACAGGAAAGCTGCTGATAGGGAACCCAAGGTTGAAAATGGACAGTGTTGCTATTTCGTGGGGTCGACAACAAGTGTCACAAAACAATGAGTGTATTGTTTAATAAGAAACTAATTTACTCTGTAAACCTTCATCTAAAGCACAATTAAAAATAAGCAAACAAAAAGATTACAGCCTTGGAAACCCCGTGGGGCAGTTCTACTCTGTCCCATGGGGTCACTATGAGTCAGAATCAAAGGCAATGATTTTTTTTTTTTTTTTTGCACCCAACGGCACGAGAATAAATGTGGGAGGAAGGGTTTTTCCAGTGATATTCGTCTGAATTCTGCTAATGGGCGTGGGGGGAGAGGGCACCATGTATGGCTCATTCTTTGAGGTTTGCTAGCACAGGAGATAAACTGGAAGGGCCACCAAAGAAGGAAATTTTAGGATATAAAACTGATTTGGAAAATCAGACCCATGACATGCAGAAGTACTGGATTTTCCAAGGGGTCACACAGAGAAGTCAGCTGAGTTTTCTGAATCTCAGCCGCCTCATCCATCAAAAAAAATCATTGTGGGTGAGTTGACCCCGACTTATGACGACCCCGTGTGTTCCAGAGTAGAACTGTACTCCATAGGGTTTTGCTTGCCTCTGACTTTTTGGAAGCAGATTGCCAGGTCTTTCTTCCACAGCACCTCTTGGTGGGTTTGAGCTGCCAACCTTTAGGTCAGTAGGCGCGTGCAGATCATTGATGCACAGGTGTATAGAAACCAGGTGGCTTAGGGTTCTTCCTGGGCTGTGCAAGCAGTTAAGCCCTAAAAGGTCAATGGTTCAAACCCACTGGCCACTCCGTGGGGGAAAGACGTGACAGTCTGCTTCTGCAAAGATTTACAGCCTTACCGCTACTGACCCCTCTGACCGGGACCACAATAGTAGGTCATGGACAGAGTGGGACAAAAATGTAGAACAAAATCCAAACTCATAAATAAGACCAGACATACTGGTCTGATAGAGACTGGTGGAGCCCCCGAGACTATGGCCCTTAGAATCCCTTCAAACTTGGAATTGAAATCACTCCTGAAGATCACATTATAGACATCCAATAGACAGGCTTATAAAATGAACAATAACACCAGTGAGGAATGTATATGTGAGAGCAATCAACTGTATGAGACCTAAATGGTAGCATTTGCCCAAAAGCAAAGCTCAGGAGGACAGTAGGGGCAGGAACGCTGGGTGAATGGACGCGGGGAACCCAGGGAGGAAGAAGGGAGACTGCTGACACATTCAGGGGTTTGCAACCAACGTCATGGAACAAGCTATGTGCACATTGTGGATTGGGAAACTAATTTGCTCCTTAAGCTCACCTAAACCACAATAAAAATCTTCAAAAAAAAATTTACACCCTTGGAAACCCTACAGGGGAGTTCTATTTTGTCTTATAGGGTCACTATGAGTCAGAATTGACTTGATGACAGTCGGTTTGGTTTGATTTGTTTGTTTTTTTTTGGGGGGGGGGTGTGCTGCAAAGGGTTAACACATTTGACTGCTAACAGAAAGGTTGGAGGTTTGAATCCACCGAGTGTTGCCTCAGAAGAAAGGCCTGGGAATCTACTTTCAAAAAATCAGCTATTGACAAGGTCGTGGAAGCTCCACAGACACAGTCAAACTCCCTGAGGGACCGAATTACTGGGCTGAGGGCTGTGGGGACCATGGTCTCTGGGAACATCTAGCTCAATTAGCATAACAATGTTTATAAAGAAAATGTTCTACCTTCTACCTTGGTGAGCAGTGTCTGGGGTCTTAAAAGCCTGTGAGCAGCCATCTAAGATACTCCACTGGTCTCACCCCTTCGGGAGCAAGGGAGAATGAAGAGAACAGGATGCAAGGAAAAGATTAGTCCGAAGGACTAATGGACCACAGCTACCAAGTCCTAAAGCAGGCTGAGTCCAGTACAGTTAGATGGTGCCCGGCTACCACCACTGACTGCTCTGACCAAGATCACAACAGAGGGTTCTGGACAAAGCTGGAGAAGGATGTAGAACAACATTGTAACACACACACACACACAAGACCAGACTTACTGGCCTGAAAGAGACTGGAGAAACCCTGAGAGTATGGCCCCTAGACACCCTTTTCGCTCACTGGTGAAGTCACTTCCGAGGTTTACTGTTCAGCTGGGGATTGGACAGCCCCATAAAACAAAACAGGACTAATGAGGCACAGCAGTCCAGGGACGAGGACTAGAAGGCAGGAGGGGACAGGAAAGCTAGTGATAGGGAACCCAAGCCTGAGTAAGGACAGTGTTGACATGTACTGGGGTTGTTAACCGTTGTCATAGGGCAACATGTGTACTAACTGTTTAATGAGAAACTATTTTGATCTGTAAACCTTCATCTAAAGTGAGAATAGCAGCCCAACTGGAAGAACGTAATCGATGTCACTGAACTGTGCATGTAGAAATTTTTGAAATGGTGTATCTTTGGCTATGTAAATTTTCAACAAAAAAAAAAAAGGTGGAGAAGGGAGAGGGTTGACATGTCACGGGGTTGTTAACCAATGTCATAAAACAATATGTGTACTGACTGTTTAATGAGAAACTATTTGTTCTGCAAACCTTCACCTGAAGTACAATAAAAAGAAAAAAAAGAGGGGAAAAGGCACAAATTATGAATAGCAGAAATTAAAGAGGGAACATCACTGTGAATCCTACATATATTAAAAGGATAATAAAGAAATATTATGGACAACTTTATCCCAAGATTTTCACAACTTAGATGAAATTGATAAATTGCTAGAAAGACAAAATTTCCAAAGTTGATTAAAAAATAGAAATTCTGAATAAGTATATATTTAATAAAGAAACTGAACTCATAATCAAAAATTCTACAGGGCCAGATGGCTTTACTGGTGAATTTTATAAAACATTTAAGGAAGAAATAATACCAATTTTACACAAACTCTTTCAGAAAATGGAGGAGGAGAGAATATTTCTCAACTCAGTTTTAGGCCATCATTACCCTGATATTGAAACCAGATTAAGATATTACAAGAAGAGAAAAACTACAAAACAATATGCCTTACAAACAAAGATATAAAAACATTCAACAATGGCTCTCTAAGATACAACTATTGGTCTCTTCCCAACCAGAGCAAAGAAAAGTGAAGAAAATCAGAGTCTCAAGGAAACAATTAGTCCGAAGAACTAATGGATCACAGGAACCACAGCCTCCACTAGCCTGAGACCAGAACTAGATGGTGCTCTGCTACCACTACCGACCTCTCTGACTGGGATCACAACAGAGGGTCCCAGACAGAGCAGGAGAAAAATGTAGAACAAAAAATCAAATTCACAAGAAAGACCAGACTTACTGGTCTGACAGAGACTGAAGGAACCCCCGAGACTATGGCCCTAAGACATCCTTCTGACCTGGAATTTAAGCTATTCCCAGAGACCACCTTTCAGCCCAACAATAGACAGGCCCATAAAATAAACAATAACACCCGAGAGGAATGTGTTCCTTAGAACCATGAATTATATGAGATCAAAAGGGCGCCATTTGCCCAAACTGGGGCTTGGACAGCCTCATAAAACAAAACGGGACTAATGAGGCACACCAGTCCAGGGACAAGGACTAGAAGGCAGGAGGGGACAGGAAAGCTGGTAATAGGGAACCCAAGGTTGAGAAGGGAGAATGTTGACATGTCGTGGGGTTGTTAACCAATGTCATAAAACAATACATGTACTGACTGTTTAATGAGAAGCTAGTTTGTTCTGTGAACCTTCATCTAAAGTACAATAATGAAACAAAAATCAGGCATTGAAAACCCTCTGGAGCACAGTTCTACTCTGACACACGTGGGGGCACCATGAGTGACAGCCGACTGGATGACAAGTGGACTGATGTGCTGCTCTCCCAGCTCTGGAGCCACGAGTCAAGAATCCAGGGGTCAGCAGGATCATGCTCCTCCAGAGACTCTAGGGAAGACTCCTTCTTTGTCTCTTCCAGTTTTTGGTTGTCGCTGGCCATTCCTGGCATTCCTTGGCTTGTGGCTGCATCACTCCAATCTCTGCGTCCGTCTTCACACGGCCTCTTCCCTCTGTGTCTTCTCTTTTATAACGATGCCCATCCCTGCATTTAGGGCCCCTGAAATCCAGGACAATCTCCTTTCAAGATCTTTTACTTAATTCCATGTGCAAACACCCTTTTTCCAAATAAGTTTCCATTCACAGGTTCCGGGGGTTAGGACGTGGACATATATTTTGGGTGGCCCCCATTTAGAGGCGCCCCCCCATGAGAGTCTTTCGAGGGCTTTAAGCATCTGAAAGAAGGGATCCTTTTTCTGTGCGGAAAGGTCGCTGTATGGCTGTGAGCGAGAGCCCCTGGAGAGAGGGAGGAAGGGGATCGGATCTCCTCTGTGACCGGGGTTTGGAGAGAGGGAATGGGCAATGGACCTGTTAAGACGGTGTCTTAAAGATGGCTCTTGGCTAAACGGTCCCCTTTCTCTCACCACAGATTCAGAGGTGGTGCTGCACGGAGCAAATGTCAAAACTATACCCTTGACCAAGGCTATGCCTCAGGCTGCGTCTTGGAGGTGGAGCCGGACGAGGATGGGGCCAGAGACGTTATACTCGAGCTCTCTTTGTGCAACAAAACCAGTGCTCTTCTCAAACGTAGTGTGTGGATCAGTGACTACTGTGAGTTCTGAGCGAGGGGCTCATTGCCCACTCACCCCGAGGGGAGCTGATTGTGGGGGGGCATCCTCCCTGACCCCAACAGGGAAGAGATGGACGTTTCTAGAAGGTCCATCTTGACACAACTGCCGGATGCAGCCCCATTGACAGGGGGATCTTGGATGTCCAATGGTGAAAACCAGATGACCCTGTGAAGGCTGTGATTTGAGAAATGGTAACCACCCCCCAACCCCACAGAGAGAGAGAGAAACACTCTCTTACTTCCAGCTGATTTCCGTCCCTTTGTTTTTTCTTAAGCGCCCTTCAGAGCCGGAGTCAATCTTGAGAGGTCCCTGGGTAGTGCAAACATTTTGCGCTCAACTTACTTTGGACGTGTTGTCAGGAGAGACCAGTCCCTGGAGGAGAACATCATGCTTGGTAAATTAGAGGGTCAGCGAAGAAGAGGAAGACCCTCAATGAGGTGGACTGACACAGTGGCTGCAACAATGGGCTCAAGCATAACAACAATTGTGAGCATGGCGCAGGACCAGGCAGTGTTTTGTTTTGGTGTATATGGGGTCACTACGAGTCGGAATCAATTCCACAGCACCTAATTACAACTATCCTAAAGGTTGGCAGTTCAAACCCACACAGTGACATCACTGAAGAAAGGTCTGCTCATCTGTTTCTGTAAAGATCCCAGCTAAGAAAACCCTATGGAGCAGTAACACTTGATGGCAATTGATTTTTTTTTTTTTTTGGTCAATCTTGAGTGAGGAAGAACTGCACACATGTACTAAGGCTCTCTCTCTATGATATTTACTCTTCATTCTAGAATTCTGTAAAGCAATGGTTCTTTTCGTGGGGAGGGGTCACAGAGTCCCTTCAGAATCTGATGGGAGCTACTGACCCCTACTTAATAAATCACTCATAGGTGTCCATGTACAGGAGTTTTTCATGCAGTTTGAAAGGGTTTCTTCCATAATACACCGACAGGTCTTCAAATCCCAGGCTAAAAACTCACTCTAAAGGTAATGAGGGGTCCCTGGGTGGTGCAAAGGGTTAATGTGCTCGGCTCCTAACCAAAAGGTTGGAGGTTGGAGTCCACCCAGAGGTGCCTCAGAAGAAAGGCCAGGTCATCTATCTCTGAAAAATCATCCATTGAAAACTCTATGGAATACAGTTCTACTCTGACACACACGGGGTGGCCATGAGTTGGAATAGACTCAATGGCAACTGGTTGGTTAAAGGTAAGAAAGAGAAGTAAACCAAAAATTCCCCCGAGGTAGTAAGGATACCCCTTAAAGAAAGGGTTGATGGAGGCAGAAGGAAGTGTTGCTGCTGTTAGTTGCCAAGTCAGTTCCGACTCATGGTGACCTCATGCACAATAGAAGAAAACATTGCCTGGTCCTGTGCTACCCTCACAATCATGGGTACGCTCCAGTCCACTGTTACAGCTATTAATAGAATGTGGTGAGGAAGTAGTTAGAACACTGGTTTTCAAGAGGTGACATGTTTGTCTTGTCAAGGAGGTGATGGTTCGACTGGTTTTCCTTCTTGTTGATACGTTGTTAGGTGCCATGGAATCGGTTCCGACTCATAGCGACCCCACGTACAACAGAATGAAACACGGCCCGGTCCTGCGCCATCTGCACAATTGTTGTTATGCTTGAGCCCATTGTGGCAGCCACTGTGTCAATCCATCTTGCTGAGGGTCTTCCTCTCTTTCGCTGACCCTCTGCCTTACCATGCATGATGTCCTTATCCAGGGACTGGTCCCTCCTGATAATATGTCCAAAGTATTTGAGATGTAGTCTCACCATCCTCCCTTCCAAGGAGCCTTCTGGCTGTACTTCTTCCAAGACAGACTTGTTCGTTCTTCTGGCAGCCCGTGGTATATTCAATATTCTTCACCAACACCGTAATTCAAAGGTATCAGTTCTTCTTTGGTCTTTTTTCCATCTTAGTGAAACCAAAGTCTCCAGAAGACTTGAACTTCCTGTGGCAACAGGAGGCCGTCACCGTTACGTGTTCCAACCTTTCCTACAAGGGGCTTCTATATGAAGTCCAGTACAGGAGTGACTTTGACTTCAAGTGGGAGGTGAGTCCTGTGGAGTGCTCTCAGGGATGGGGTGTTCACACCTGCTATGGATCATACTGTGTCCCCCAAAATATGTGTTGTAAATCCTAACCCCTGGACCTGTGGTTGCAATCCCATTTGGAAATAGGTTTTCTTTGTTTTGTTAATGAGATAATATTAGTGTAGGGAGTGTCTTAAGTCAACCTCCTCTGAGATATAAAAGGAGCAGATTAGGCACAGTCATGGATTGAATTGTGTCCCCCAGAAATATCTGTCAACTTGGTTGGGTCATAATTCCCAGTATTGTGTAATTGTGTACCATTTTGTAATCTGATGTGATTTCCTTCTGTGTTGTAAATTCGATCACTACGATCTAATAAGATGGATTAGCAGCAGTTATACTGATGAGGTCTATAGGATTGGATAGTGTCTTAAGCCAATTTATTTTGAGATATAAAAGAGAGAAGCAAGCAGAGACACATGGGAACCCCATACCATCCAGAAAGCAGTGCTGGGAGCAGATGTCCTTTGGACCCAGGGTCCCTGTGTTGAGAAGCTCCTAGACCAGGGGAAAATTGATGACAAGGACCTTCCCCCGGAGTTGACAGAGAGAGAAAGCCTTCTCCTAGAGCTGATGCCCTGACTTTGGACTTGTAGCCTACTGGACTGTGAGAGAATAAATGCCTCTTTGATAAAGCCATCTGCTTGTGGTATTTCTGTTAGAGCAGCACTAGATGACCAAGACAGACACAAAACCAGAAAACCAAACCCGTTGCCGTCCAACTCATAGCAACCCTATAGGACAGAGTAGAGCTGCCCCACAGGGCTTCCAAGGAGTGGCTAGTGGATTCCAATTGCTGACCTTTTGGTTAGCAGCCAAGCTCTTAACCACTGCGCCACCAGGGCTCCAGATTAGCCACAGAGAAAAGCAAACACAGATGGGGGAAGAGAGATACCACATGGAGATCACCAGGGAACTGTGGTAAGAACGTTACAGAAGCTGAGACAAGGACCTTCCCCCCAGAGCTGACAGAGACAGAAACCCTTCTCCTGGAACCAGTGCCTTGAGTTTCTCTTCTCGTCTCCTCAACTGTGAGAGAGTAAAGCTCTGTTTGTTAAAGCCACCCCCTTGGTGTTTGCGTTGTAGCAGTACTGGATGGTTAAGACAGTTCCCCAAATGCTGTTCTTGTGGGGTTCAGTGTTTCCCCCAAGACCGCCTTTCCCTTCTGTCTGGACCCCACTGCGCTTCGTCCCATCTTTCGTTTGTGACTGATACCTAATCCCACTCGACTGTGGCCATCGACAAACACCACCTAAATAAGAACAAACAAGACGATGTGTTGAGAGCTTGCTGTAACAAGAGAGTCGGCCAACGTCACTTGTGTTTGGCAGAATTTCAAAGGCAGAGCTTTCCAGGGGAACAGAGGCAAGGCTTCCAGTGCACCCCGAACGGACGCCGTTGCCATGGGGAAGCTGGAGGTGGGCTAACTAGAAGTGGGTTGTTTTATGTTATTGGTTAAAAAAAACATTGCCTCCGGGTCCATTCTGACTCATAACAACCCTATGGGACAGAGTACAACTGCCCCACAGGGTTACTAAGGAGCAGCTGGTGGATTCAAACTTCTGATCTTTTGGTTAGCAGCCACAGCTCTTAATCACTGCACCAGCAGGGCTCCTATGTTATTGGCTACCAAAATAAAAAACCAAACCATTGCTGTCGAGTCAATTCTGATGCATAGCGACCCCATAGGACAGAGTAGAACTGCCCCATAGGGTTTCCAAGGAGCAGCTGATGGATTTGAACTGCCGACCTTTTAGTTAGCAGCCTGAGCTCTTAACCACTATGCCACCAGGGCTCCTATGTGATTGGTTAGGGGAGTGCATTTGAGTTTCTCTGATTGGACTTATGTTGGAAGCGAGGACAAACATTAAGTGAGCTGTCAGTTATTAATCAAGGAGCTCTGGTGGTGCAGTGGTTAAAGCATTTGGCTGCTTAGATGTGACAATCTGCTTCCATAAAGATTTACAGCCTTGGAAACCCTACAGGGAATTTCTACTCTGTCCTGTAGAGTCTCTATGAGTCGGAATTGACTGGATGACAACGGGTTCAGTTATAAATCAGATCTTGGCCATTTTGGGCTCATTGTTACAGGGACTGTTGTTTGGCTTCCTAGGCTGGTTGGTGCAGGCTGTGGGTCAGTTGTGTTTTTGTATATGTTCTAGTCAATGTCTGATTGTTCATTCAGTCACTCATGGCTTTCCCTTGTGCCCTCTGGTCTCAGTTCCCTAGTGCTGTTGTAACAGAAATACCACAAGTGAGTAACAACAGAAATTTATTTTCTCATAATTCAGGAGACAAGAAGTCTAAACTCATGGTGTGGCTCTAGGTGGGGGTCCTTCTTTGTCTACTTCACCTTCTGGTAGCTGGCAATCCTTGGAGTTCCTGCCTTATAGATAAATATGCCTGTGTCCCCAAATAGCACCTCTGTGCCTCTGTGTCTAATCTGCTCGTTTTCTAACTCAGAAGTGATTAGATTTAGAACCCACCTCCCACCCCATGAGCTAATTAGTATAAGAAAGAAGACACTATTTCCAAACAATAGGAGTACATCCACAGGTAAGGGCACGAGGATTCCAACACACATTTTGGGGGGTACACAATTCAATCTGTATTCAATTGGGAAATCACTCCTTGGAACAGGCACCTCCTTTGTGTTTAAAACACAGGGGTGCAAGTCTGGGATTTGAGCTTGTGAACAGGCTCAATGGAAAAATGAAATTTATGTCAATATCAATGCTTCAGGTATCTGGTAGTCCAGTCCACAGCCGATCATGGGGATGGAGCAAGGTTAGGGAGTATTTTGTTCTGTTGTGCATGGGGTCATCATGAGTCACGGCAGACTCTACCCCAACTAATAACAACAACCACATTGATGAATATTTAGTAACAGGAGAAATTGCATATGGTAAAACGTTGCTTTACAAAAGATACACAGTTTCATGAACAATGCGACCCCGACCCCGTTTTCATTATGAGTACTCCTGGGAGGAAATAGACAACATCAGCTTGTTCATGGTGCCCATATCTTGGAGCTAAAATAAGAAAAGTTTTTTTTTTTTTAAATAACATTTTATGTGTTTTTCGTGAAAGTTTGCACAGCAAATTTAGTTCTCGTTTAAGAATTACTACACACATTATTCAGTGACGTTCGTTACATTTTTACAACGTGTTAACGTTCTCATTGATTCCTTTCTGGTTGTTTCTTTTCCAATAATCTGTTTTCTCTCTCCCCTTATCTTTTCCAATAATCTGGTTTCTCTCTCTCCTTACCTTCTCATCTTTGCTTTAGAGTAATTTAGCCCTGGTGGCACAGTGGTTAAGAGCTACTTCTGCTAACCAAATGGTCAACCATTCAAGTCCACCAGCTGCTCTTTGGAAACCCTATGGGGCAGTTCTACTCTGTCCTATAGGGTCACTATGAGTTGGAATCAACTAGACGGCAATGGGTTTTTTTTTTTTTTTTTTTCTCATATAGATGTTTTTTTTTTAAAGGAGCACAGTATTCACAGATGATAGTCTTTATTTTATGAGCCAATCTGTTATATAGCTAGAAGGTGACCTCAGGGGGTAGTTTCAGTTCAAGGTTTAAAGCGTATCTCAGGGCGACCGTCTTAGGGAGTCCTCTAGTCTCAAGCAGTCCAAGTCCGGACTTTACAAGAATTTGAGCTCTGTCCCACATTTTAAAAAGAAAGGTTTTCATTTTATTTTTTAAGGTTCTCCTTTTGCCTTTATTATTTGCTAAATTCTCTGAAATAAAAGTGTTAACTTTTATAATCATAACAAACCATTTATTTTCTTAAAAGGAAGTACTTGTCACTAAGTCATTCCTCAAAACCTTCTGCAGTAGTATTTGTTACAAAGGATTTTTGGTAGGGAGGAGAGGGTCGAGGATTTTGTCGTTGTGTTTTTGTTGAGGGGGTGTGAAGACGTGGGTGCAGGAAGGATGGGAATCAATGGAATGTGAACGAATGCCTGTAGCAGGAGTCGTGTGTGAGTCGCTGGTGCTAAGATAAGAAGGCTAGGTCACGTCACCCCTCACCGTGTCTATTTTTTCTGCAGTCTACAGAGCAGAAAACCTGCAGCATTACCGTAGAAAACTTAGATGCTGATAAATGCTACTATTTCCGCGCCAGAGTGAAAACCATGGAGTCCAGATACGGCTCAGAGACGTACCCCAGTGACTGGTCGGAAGTGACCCACTGGCAGGGGGGAGAGCGGAAAGGTGATGTTTGTTACACAGCCAGGGAGGGCAGGGGTTGGGGCACCACTGGACGATGAGCAAAAACCATGAATGATCTCAATTCCAAACTTGAATCTGAAAGTGATTTCTCTCAGTGTTTCTCTCTGCAGGCAGCCTTCCTCACTGAGCTAATTATAATTTTTTTTTTTTTTTTTACTTCTAGGAACACAGCAACAGTAATAACAAGTATCATTTACTAAAAGCCTGATTTGTACCAGTTGCTATATAAATTAGCTCTTATCTTTGAAATAAGGCTTCAATGCTGTTATAGTAGTATGATTTTGTTGATGATAAAATTAAGTAAAATGATTTGCCCAAGGACACACAGTTAGTTAATTGAGAAGCTGGGCTTCAGACTCCAGTCTATGTGGATTTGCATCCATGATAGAAGCTCTGTAAATATACACTGCATGGCTGGCTGGGTAGATGAGTAGGTGAAAGGGTGGCGGGATGAATGGATGATGGACTGAAGGATGGATGGAGAGGATGGATGGGTGGGTGGATGGATGAGTAAGGGGGTGGACGGACGGGTAGGTAAAAGGATAGATGGATGAATGGGTAGGTGAAAGGATGGACGGACAGGTAAATGGGTGGCTGGAGGGTGGGTGGGTGACTGAATGAATAGGTGAAAAAATGGATGAATGGATGGGTAGGTGGAGGGATGGATGGGTGAATGGGTGAATAGATGGATGAGTAAATGGGTGGCAGGCTGGCTGGCTGGATGGGTAGGTGGATGGATAAGTAGGTGGATGGGTGAATAGATGGATGAGTAAATGGGTGGCTGGATGGGTAGGTGAAGAATGGATGGACGGATGGATGGGTGGGTAGGTGGATGGATAGGTAGGTGGATGGGTGAATAGACGGATGAGTAAATGAGTGGCTGGATAGGTAGGTGAAGAATGGATGGATGGATGGATGGGTAGGTGGATGGATAGGTAGGTGGATGGGTGGATAGATGGATGAGTAAATGGGTGGCTGGATGGTGTGTGTATGGCTGGATGAATAGGTGAAAAAATGGATGGATAGATGGGTAGGTGGATGGATGGGTGGACAGACAGATAAGTAAATGAGTGGCTGAATGGGCAGGTGAAAGAAGGGATGGATGGGTGGATGTATGTATGAGAGGGTGGATGGGCAGGTGAAAGAATGGGTGGATACACGGGTGGGTGGATGGATGGATGAGTAAACGGGTGGCTGGATGCATGGGTGGTTGGATGAGTAGGTGAAAAAATGGATGAATGGATGGATAGTTGCATGGGTAGATGGGTTGGTGGTTAGATGGGTAGGTGAAAGACTGTGAGTGGACAGGTGGGTGGATAGGTAGATGAGTGTATGGATGGGTGAAGGGATAGATGGATAGAGGCACAGTTGTATGGATGAGTGGGTGGCTGGTTGCATGTATAAACAGAAGTAGCATTTCCAAAAAGGGGATGAGGGGAGAGAGAAGAAACAGAACCCAGAGTTTTATACCAGAGGAAGGTTGGCATCCATCTATCCCTTTGCTCAGCCTTCTGTCACCATATCTCAAGCCATGGCTGGGCAGACGATGGATGGAGGAGGGTGAGAACAGAACCAGACCAAGAAGGGCTTTCGGATCAGGATAAAGCCATTGGGAGCAGAGTGCCGCAATGCTCAGGTGCTGTTAGGAAAGATTGCCCGCTCACAGGGTGGAGGAGGATGTCAGGGATAGCTCCAGGCTTTAGCTTGAGCGGACGGTGGGGCTTCCCACAGGGAATGACCAAGGAAAAGAGGGTTTGGTGGAGAAGCAGCACCATTTTGGATAAATTCACTCTGAGGTTCCTGGAGGACATCAACGCTGAGATGCCCAATGGACACGTGAACATGCAGCTGAAAAAGAACAACGGACTTGGGTTGGGCCCCTGCAAACAGGATGCTATATGGCATCCTTAGGTCCAGTTCTTTGAGGGAAGGGTCATGCTTTGCTCATCTTTCTGCTCCTGGGACCCCACACGGGCTTGGCTGACCTTCAGCAGATCACCAGCAGATGCCTGTCCCATGACCAAACTGCCAACCTCAAATGCTTCCTGGTGTAGTTTAACACAGGGCTACGGCACATTCTTCATTTAATCTCTTACAAATCAGGTGTGTCTCTCCAGCCCACTTCCATTTCTTTTACCAGCTCAAATAAATGCTACCAGCATCAAGCTCAGCGAGTGAGGGGAAATGAATCCATCAGATAAGGGCGTTGACTGCCTTGAGGGCAGGCAGCAAGACACAGCATCGTGGGGCATCTGGTGTTTGAATTCAGAGCCCAAGTCATCCCCAGGGGAAAACTGAGGGGCGCCCTTCTTGGAAAGAGCCAACACCTGCCCTGTCTTCAAGGGAAGCTTCTATTCAAAATGAGCAGTGAAATCAATGATTTTCACAATATGGATGCCCGCTGGTTAGCTATCTTTCATGTTGTGCAAGGCGTCCCTGGGTGTGCAAACTATGAATCCTTTTGGGGTGAGTGACATCCTTCTCCTCTAGCCTCCCATCCTTCACGTGTCTTCAGTGGACATCTCCATGCCTGAGGAACATCCTAGCAGGCGTTTACCCAGAGGGCAACGGGGAACTCAGGGTCCTAAAATCTCTCTTGGCCACCAACTGCCAAAAGCAAGGCCAACATCCCCTACATGCCCCTGGCAACAGCAGGCTCCCGGGGCAGTGGGTTGAGCCGACACCACCCCGAAGGGGTGGCAGCGCGGTGTGTGCCTGTCTGTAGACTCACTTCATCTCCTTGCTAAGGTATTTCCCACACACAGATCTGTCCAAAGGATTCTTGAAGCATAACTACCACCCACAGTCTCCACCAGACTGAGTCCAGCACAACTAGATGGTGCCCGGCTACCGCCAGTGACTGCTCTGACAGGGATCACAGCAGAGGGTCCTCGACAGAGCTGGAGAAAAATGGAGAACGAAATTCTAATTCACAAAAAAAGACCAGACTTCCTGGTCTGACAGAGACTGGAGAAACCCCCAGAGTATGGCCCCAGGACACCGTTTCAGCTCAGTACTGAAGTCACTCCTGAAGTTCACCCTTCATCCAAAGATTAGACAGGCCCATAAAACAAAACAAGACTAAAGGGGCACACCAGCCCAGGGACAAGGACGAGAAGGCGGGAGGGGACAGGAAAGCTGGTAATGGAGAACCCAAGGTCAAGAGGGGACAGTGCTGACAGGTCATGGGGTTGTTAACCAATGTCACTAAACAATACTTGTACTAATTTTTTAAAGAGAAACTAGTATGCTCTGTAAACTTTCATCTAAAATCCAGTAAAAATAATACAAAAAAAAAATTCCCCACAGCGATGAAGTTTTGCTAATGCTGATCTTTATAAATGAAAATAATATGGGCAGGGTGAGTTCCAGTGCCAGGTTGAAAACTTACAGCCGTCCTCCTTTTTTGTTTTTTGTTTTAGATGCGTGCCAGCAGGAGGAAACGCACTTCCCACAGTTTGTCTTAATCTCTAGCCTGGTGGCGCTCCTCACGGTGTGTGTTCTTCTTCTGCTGCTGTGGGAACGACATAGGTAAGGACCACCCTGCTGGTCTCCTAACCACGTGGGCAGCCGGCTTTGGTTACAGCATGTCCACGAAGTTGGAAGAAAGACCGATTGCCTGGTAGGGTGATTTGGCTGAGTCTGATGCCCCCACCACTGCCCGCTTTGTTGCCAACAGCAAATGAAATGTGAGAGGCAGATAATGCTAACCCGTTGCTGTTGAGTCGATTCTGACTCATAGTGACTCTAAAGGAAGGAGCAGAACGGCCCACGGGGTTTCCAAGGAACCGCTGGTGGATTTGAACTGCTGACCTTTCGGTTAGCAGCCGAGCTCTTAACCACTGCATCACTGGGGCTCCCCAGGGCAGACCAGAAAACCAAAAAACCAAACCCTGTGCTGTCGAGTTGATTCCAACTCATAGTGACCCTGCAAGACGGAGTACAACGGCCCCATAGGATTTCCAAGGAGCGTCTGGGGATTCAAACTGGCAACATTTTGGTTAGCAGACAAGCACTTATCCACTGTGCCACCAGGGCTCCAGATAATGCTAAAGACGCAGGGATATCAGGAATATTATTTCAGAAAAGTTGCCGTGGAGTCGACCCTGACTCACGGTGACCCCTTGTATGTCAAAGTAGAACTGTGCTCCACAGGGTTTTCAATGGCTCACTTTTCAAAAGGAAGTAGATCACTAGGCCTTTCTTCTGAGGCACCTCTGGATGGACTCAAACCTCCCACCTTTCGGTTAGCAGCTGAACATGTTCACTGTTTGTTCCACCCAGGGACTCCTACAGAGGGTTAAACCAAACCAAACCCGTTGCGGTCGAGTAGATTCTGACTCTTAGCAACCCTATAGTAGAGAGTAGAACTGCCCTATAAGGTTTTCAAGGAGCAGCTGGGGGATTGGAACTGCCAACCTTTTGGTTAATAGCCAAGTTCTTAACTACTGTGCTACCAGGGCTCCAGTAGAGGGTTAGCTTGTTTCAGACACAGAGCCTGACTGTGCTGTGTCTTTCCTACTTCTGAAAATCAGCCACTGAAAATCCTGTGGAGCACAATTCTACTCTGGAAACTGGTAACTGGTTCACACTATACAAAGAACGTGGCTCCTTGTCTCAGACAACACACTTCAGCAGAGGCATCACGTGGATGCAGAGAGCCTGGGGACGGTCTGGGCAGATTGAGGAGAACGACCACCTTAAACCTGGGGACCCGGATGCTGAGTCGCTACTTCTTTGCGTGTAACAGAAGCTAAAAATATATTTTAATTTTGATTAAGATCAGTTACAATGGGCAATTTGGAGAAGGAAGCAAGAAGAGCTGTATAAGAAAGCTTCTCAGGTTTTGTCTGTACTTTACAGACAAGGCAAAGCTATATACTCTTTAAGGCCATATGAGAACTTTTAAAAAATATTATATCGAGTAGTTCTCTCTCTCTCTTTCTTTTTTTACCTTCCATATGACATTTTAACCAATACTGTTACCATTTCTGGAGCCCTGGTGGTGCAGTGGTTAAGAGCTCAGGGTGCTAACCAAAAGGTCAGCAGTTTGAATCCACCAGTCGCTCTTTGGAAACCCTACGGGGCAGTTCTACTCTGTCCTACAGGGTCACTATGAGTTGGAATCGACTCGACGGCAATGAGTTTGGTTTTTGGTTTGGCTTCCACTTCTATTTAAGCTTAACTGAAGCGTAAGCATTTGGCTGTCCGTGACATTGGAGGCTGTTCATGTCCCGTACTGCGGGTGCCATCTTTGTTTCTTGGGATCAGGTTTCCATAGCAGCAAGCCGAGAGACAAGGAGAGAAAGACGGACCTCCACTCCAGAGGAATCACGTTGGGTCTGAGCTAGGCTGAGTTAGCCAACTTCAAACACTTCGCGGTGTGGTTTCGGGCTGCATTTCGTCTCTTGCACGTGGGGGCATGCCCTTCAGTCTGCTTCCATCTCTTTTACCAGCTCAGACGAATACTGCCAATGTCACACTCAGCAAGGGAGGAAATGAGGCAATCAGATAAGAGCCTTGGGTGCCAGGAGACCAAGCAGTTAGGCACAGCATCTGCTGACGAGGCTGGTGTTTGAATGTTAAAGTCAGCCACAGAGGGGGAAACTGAGGGGCCCCTTTCTTGGAAAAAGCCCACACTTGCCCGGTCTTCAAGGGAACCCCCTGTTCAAAATGAGAGGTGAAAGCCACGAATTGAAGATAACTAACATCCATTTGGAAGAAACAATGTGTACTGTGCAAGGAGCCTCTGGGTGGTGCAAAGGGTGAATATCCTCGGCTGCTAAATGAAAGGTTGGAGGTTCAAGTCCACCCAGAGGTGCCTTGGAAGAAAGGCCTGGAGATCTGCTTCCAAAAAATCAGCCATTGAAAACCCTGTGGAGCACAGTTCTGCTCTGACACACATGGGCGTGACATGAGTCAGAATCAACTCAATGGCAACTGGTTTTCAGGAGACCCTGGACAGTGCCTCCTAGTGCAGTGGTTAGGACCGCAGCCGCTAACCAAATGGTTGGCAGTTCATATCCACCAGCCGCTCCTTGGAAACCTTATGGGGGCAGTTCTACTCTGTCCTAGAGGGTTGCCATGAGTCGGAATCGACTTCACGACGGCAAAGGGTTTTTTTTTTTTTTTTTTGGGACAGTGCAAACAGTTAACTTTCTTGGCTGCTAGTCAAAAGACTGGAGGTTCGAGTCCTCCCAGTGCCTCAGAAGAAAGGCCTGGTGACCTACTTCTGAAAATCAGCCACTGAAGACCCTGTGGAGCACAATTCTACTCTGGAAACTGGTTCATACTATACAAAGAACGTGGCTCCTTGTCTCAGACACCACACTGCAGCAGGGGCATCAAGTGGACGCAGAGAGCCTGGGGACAGTCTGGGCAGATTGAGGAGAGCGACCACCTTAAACTTGGAGGCCCGGGTGCTGAGTCGCCAGGGAGCAGATCTGTAGCATCCTCGGCCCCTCTCTGGGGTTCTGTACCCCACAAACGGCCCAGAGCCATCTCGGGCTGTCAGCCTGTCTGGCCAGACTCTCCGTGCTCATTTCAGAGTGAAGAACTTCCTCATACCCAGCGTGCCAGACCCAAAATTCACCTTTCCCGGGCTCTTTGAGGACCACAGAGGGAACTTCCAGGTAATGGTGATCTTGCTTTGCCTTCTCTTCCTTCTCTTTTCTCGACTGAGAAGGCGCGCCTATTATTATTGTGGTTAGTTGCTGCCAAGTGAATGGCAAGTACAAAGAAAAAAATTATATAAATTATATACGTATATAATTAAACATATAAAACATTGTATATTATACATTACATTCTCCATCCGCCACCCTATATCCACCCTCCCTCCTGTCTTCACCCTCCATCATGTCACCACCTTCCATCCTGTCTCCACCCTCCATCTTGGGTCCACCCTCCATCTTGGGTCCACCCTCCATCTTGCCTCCACCCTCCATCTTGTCTCCACCCACCATCTTGCCTCCACCCTCCATCTTGTCTCCACCCACCATCTTGTCTCCACCCTCCATCTTGTCTCCACCCTCCATGTTGTCTCCACCCTCCATGTTGTCTCCACCCTCCATGTTGTCTCCACCCTCCATCCTGTCTCCACCCCCCATCCTGTCTCCACCTCCGATCCTGTCTCCACCCCCTATCCTGTCTCCACCCCACACCCTGTCTCCACCCTCCATCCTGTCTCCACCCCACACCCTGTCTCCACCCTCCATCCTGTCTCCACTCTCCATCCTGTGTCCACCCTCCATCTTGTCTCCACCCCCCACACTGTCTCCACCCTCCATCCTGTCTCCACCCCCAACCCTGTCTCCACTCTCCATCCTGTGTCCACCCTCCATCTTGTGTGCATACTCCATCCTGTCTCCACCCTCCATCTTGTATCCACCCCCACTCTTGTAACCACCCTCCATCCTGTCTCCACCCTCCTTCATCCATCCTGTCTCCACCCTCCATCTTGTCTCCACTCTCCATCCTGTGTCCACCTTCCATCCTCCATCCTGTCCCCACCCTCCATCCTGTCCCCACCCTCCATCCGGTCTCCACCCTCCATCTTGTCTCCACCTTGCATCCTCTATCTTGTCTTCTCTATCTTGGTTGGTTATTCAGTTGCTTATGGTGAGACAATGGTGGTTCCGTGGTAGAAATCTCACTTTCCATGCAGGAGACCCAGGTTTGATTCCCAGCTAGTACACCTCATGCAAAGCCACCACCCCTCTGTCAGTGGAGGTTTGTTTGTTGCTATGATGCTGAATGGGTTTTACTGGAGCTCCCGGATGAAGACAGGCTATGAAGAAAGGCCTGGCATTCTACTTCTGAAAATCAACCAATGATAAACCCTATAGATCACAATGGTCTGATTCATAACCAATGGTGGGGATGGCACAGGACCAGGCAGTGTTTTGTTCTGTCATGCATGGGGTTGCCATGAGTCGAGGCCAATTGTCATCAGCTAACAACAACAGCAAACGTAGTATCGGCTTGGTGGAAAGATCTCTAAGAAGAGGGATTTTCTGTTCCAATGGGAATAGCGTTCCCACAGGAATCTGCCTCATCCCCAAGGATGTTAGCTGGCAACCGTCTGTGGGAAGGGGCAGCACTGGACTTTTGGCCAGGTTGTCCTGGCTCACAAGTCCAGAGGTGCTTTTTGGTGTGATGTTTTTGTCTTTTTAAATAAATGTAAATTTAGTATAAATTTTAGAACTTTATAATTTTTAAACTAAATTTAAAATTTACTATGCAATTTGTTTTTACAGTGCTTACATCCTATTTTTGCTGTCTGTGCATACATGTACACAGTTTTGAGGCAACCTAGAAGAACTAAACACTGTTGTGATAACAAAAGATGTCTCTGATGGCAAAGTTCCCTGCAGAACTTGCTACACATTACAAAATTAGTAACCCAGCTTACCAAACTTGGTAGAGAAACTTGGTTTACTCATTCACTCATTTCAGTTTGAAAGTTTTCTTTTTTTTAAAAATATTTTATTTTTTCTTGTTATTAAGAATATGGAGCCCTGGTGGTGCAGTAGTTAAGAGCTTGGCTGCTAACCAAAAGGTCGGCAGTTCTCATCCACCAGTTGCTCCTTGGAAACCCTGTGGGACAGTTCTACTCTGTCCTATAGGGTCCCTATGAGTTGGAATTGACTCGATAGCAACAGGTTTGGTTTTTGGTTTTATTAAGAATATACACAGCAGAACATATGCCAATTCAACATTTTATCCACGTACAGTTCAGTGACGTTGATTACATTTTTTGAGTTGTGCAGCCATTCTCATTCTACTTTTCTGAGTTGCTCCCCCCTCATTAACATAAACTCCCTATCCCCTAAGTTTCCTATCTAACCTTTCAAGTTGCTGTTGTCAATTTGATCCCATATAGGTAGATCTTAAACGAGCACAGTGCTCAAGGCAGACATCCTTTACTAGTTAAGCTAAACCATTGTTTGGTTTTAAGAAGACTTCAGGGGATATTTTTGGTTTAAGCGTTAAAGATTATCTCAGGGCAATAGTTTCAGGGGTTCATCCACCCTCTATGGCTCCAGAAAGTCTGGATTCCATAAGAATTTGTATTTTGGAAGTCTTTAGGGGTAATTTTAAATACATTATTGCTAAGCTGAGGTCTTCAAAAATGCATCTATACAATGACAGTTACTCGCAAGGGAAACCTGTACCCTCTTTTAAACCAAATATCTGTACGACTGGATTGAACGTGTTAGCGGTGTGTTGTTGGTTGCCATTGAGTCAGCTCCGACTCATGGCGACCCCATGCACCACAGAATGAAATGCTGCCCAGTCCTGCACCATCTTCACCACTGGTCTACTCTAGTCCGTTGTTCCAGCTCTACATCAGACAACGTTCTATTGTGATCGATAGAGTTTTCACTGGTTGATTTTCAGAAGTAGATTTCCAAGCCTTTCTTCCTAACCTGTCTTAGTCTGGAAGCTCTGCTGAAACCTGTCCACCATGGGTGACCCTGCTGGTATTGGAAATACTGGTGGCATAGCTTCCAGCATCACAGCAACACACAAACCACCACATTACAACAAACTGACAGATTGGTGCTGGTATTAGCATTAGGGTAGATTTAATCAAAAACTCCTTGGGTGGCACAAATGGTTGAGTGCTCAGCTACAGCTGAGTATGGCTGTTCCAATACACCTAGAGGTGCCTCGCAAGAAAGGCCTAGTGATCTTCTTTGGGAAGATCAGCTGTTGGCAACCCTATGGAGCACAGTTCTACTCTGACACACATGGGGTTGCTGTGAGTCAGAATTGACTTCATGGCCACTGGTTTAGACTGATCACACATTGGGTCCATGCATGGAAAATGGAGATTTGAAATTTGTTTTTTTTGAAGTTAGGAAGGAAGAAGATGTTAAAATTTTGCATGCACTAGAGTTGATTTTTGGGGGCGTGCATTGCAGTAAGACATATTTGCTGTTTGGTGTGTTCATGGGATTTGAGCCAGAATGTTCTGTCCTGCAGGAGTGGATCAAGTTCACTGAGAACATGGCCTATGTGAATAAGGTGGAGAATGAAGAGGAAGAGTGTGCCCTGGAGGAGATGCTGGTGGCCCAGCTGGTCAAGGCCGAGGTGGAGGCACCCACCACAGGCCTGTTGTGCCCACAGACAGAGGTGGAAGAGGCTCTGGGTCCCGGCCAACATCCTCACCAGCCCCCTCAACACAGTGAGGTGGTCACCCTGGGTGGATTTTCGTTTGTGATGAGTGACAACTCTTATGTGATGCTCTGAGACGGTTCCACCCCCAAAGCCAACAGCAAGGTCAACATTGGCATTAAAGGACCAAGGGACATGTCCCAGGGGTCAGCACCATCCAGGACCAATGACGCTGGTGTCTGGGAGCACTGAAGACCTCCACCTCCAGACCAAGGGGCTCCCTGGGTCCAGTTTTACTCCCAGGACATCTCCATTCCAGGGCTTGATGGTGGGGCCATTGTAGGTGGAAGACTTGATTGGTTTGAGGGTTCCTTGCTTTCGGTTTGCATCTCCTCCTGTCGGGGGCTGGCCACAAAAATCTTGAAGAAGGAAGGCCAGGGTGCACGGAAACCACCTTCTTGTGTGCACACAGACCCATCATCTCTTTCACCAAGTCCATCCATGGGCTGTTTTTTGGGCCCTTTCTTCCATGGGACAAATAGATGATAGATGGATGGATGGATGAGTAGATAGATGGATGGGTGGATTGATGGATGGGATAAATGGATGGATGGTGGGTGGGTGGAAGGATGGATGGAGGGAGGGATAGATGGAGGGATGGATGGAGGGATGGCGGGTGTGTGAATGGATGGAGGCATGGAGGGATGGATGGAGGGATGGATGGATGGATGAAGGGATGGAGAGTTGGAGGGATGGATGGAGGGATGGATGGTAGGTGGGTGAATGGATGGAGGGATGGATGGATGAAGGGATGGATGAAGGCATGGGGGGATAAGGGATGAATGGATGGATGGATGAGTTAGGTGGGTGGGTGGGTGGGTGGATAGGTGGATGGATGAGATAGATAGATAGGTAGATGCTGTTGAATTGACTCTGACTCATGGCGAACCCATGTACAACAGAACAAAATGTTGGCCAGCCCTGCATCATCCTCACATTTGACAGCACGTTTGAGTCCATCTTTGTGGCTATTGTGCCAATCCGTCTCACCCAGCATCTCCCTCGCCCTCGCTGGCCCTCTACTTCACCAAACATGATGCTCTTCTCCAGAGATGGATCCCTCCTGATGACCTGTCCAAAGCAAGCGAGTCAGACAATGTTCTGTCATGCTCCTTAAGGTTTTCACTGGCTGATTTTTGGAAGCAAATCACCAGGCCTTTCTTCCTAGTCTGTCTTAGTCTGGAAGCTCCCCCGAAATGTGTCCACCATGTGTGACCTGGTTGGTATTTGAAATGCTGGTGATGTAGTTTCCAGCATCACGGCAACACGCAAGCCACCACCGTACAACAGACTGACAGGTGGGGGGTGGTGTTCTGTGGCATCGTGTCCAGAACATGAAGTATGGCTCTTTTGGATGGTAAAAAGAATCCTGTTTTTCAAATATCAACACCAAGAAGCAGCTCTTCCGAAGGAGAAAGGTCCCCTTTGTAACCACTTAAACATTTTCTTTAGGAGATACAGTTTCTGTTCCTGGCCCTCACGCATGAGACAATTCTGTGTGTGAGAGATATTTGAGTTTGAAAAGTTTAGTCACATGAAGCCTCCTGTCCCTTGCGTTTGCATTTGCTTTTCATGTCCTGGAAATAAAGAGAACAAGAAACACTTTGGCATGAGAACTATGTGAGATAAAGTTGGGTTTTGATGTGCCTGTAGATAGTGGGGAAGACTCTTACTCTGGGGCTTTTTAACTCCTTCAGCCTTGAAGCCCACAGTATTTCTGGCTGAGTGAGATTTGGATCTTTGGGCGGAAACTGGGTTGAAGTTGTTTTTCTTTGGGGTCCAGAAAAGGCTTTGCAATCCAACCCAGGGTATATGAGTGTGTGGTGTGTATGTGTGTGTAGTGTCTGTGCTGCGTGGGTGTATATATGTGGTTTGTGTGGAGTATGTGTGTATGTGTGTGGTGTGTATATGTGGTGTGTGTGGTGTATTAGCGTGCTTGTCTGTGGGGTGTGGTGTAGTTACATGTATGTGATGTGTGTATGTGTGGTGAGTGTATGTGTGGTGTGATGTGTGTGGTGTGTTTCGGGGTGTGGTGTAGTTATGTGTGTGATGTGTGTGTATGGTGTCTGTGTTGTGTGTGTGTGCATGGTGTGTATATGTGTGGTGTGTATATGTGTGGTGTGTTTATTTGGGGTTGTGCAGATATGTGTGTGTGATGTGTGTGTATGGTGTGGTGTGGTTACGCGTGTGTGATGTGTGTGTGGTGTGTGTGTGATGTGTGTGTATGGTGTGTGTGTGGTGTGTTTGGAGGTGTGGTGTGGTTACATGTGTGTGTTGTGTGTGTGGTGTGTGGGTGGTGAGTGTATGTGTGTGTACATATGTGTGTGTGCGGGTGCATGGGTAGGGACGGCCGTCCTACAGTTTCCCTGATCCGCGTGCCCTTCTCTGGGCATCCCGACAGCTGTGGGTGAGGGGCCCCTTCGCAGCCCAGGCTCTGCAGCTCTGCCACCCGGTCCCTTCCGCCTGCCTGGACCCCGTGAGCTGTGCTGGGTGGGAGGGTGACGCAGTGGAGAGCGGGGGCTGAAGTTCTCTGAGACTGATTTTAGGGGAGAGCAGACTGGTAGGACTCAGGGCCCTTTGTGAGGGTTTTCGGATACCTCCTTTTCAGAACAGTGGGTTTTGCTTTGATGCATTTTATCCCATGGTGAGGAATAATGAAGAAAAAGAATGCCTGTTAGCCATCGATACAGATGCATTTTACACGTGATCAAAACCGTTGCAACCACCAGGCTCCACCCACCTCAAGTACTGCCCACCGCTGCCGGTCCCCAGTGGTCTCAGAATGGTGACCCCACCTGAGGAGGCACCTGGAGCCACAAGGAGCCTTGTATGTAAGGGGTGTGTGAGATGCAAGATTCCACCATTTCCTCCGTCTTTCTCCATGGTCCCCCCTGCTTCCTATTATGTCTTTCTAGATAGGAGCCCTCGTGGCATAGTGGTTAAGAGCTATGGCCGCTAACCAGAAGGCTGGCATTTCAAATCCACCAGGCACTCCTTGGAAACTCTATGGGGCAGTTCTGCTCTGTCCTATAGGGTTGCTATGAGTCTATTGCAATGGGTTTGGGTTTTTTTTTTATGTATATATGTGTATATATATTTAATTTATTGTAGTTTTTGTTATTAGAATATACACAGCAAAATATACACCAACTCAACAGTTTCTACTTGTACAATTCAGTGACCTTGATTACATTCTTCGAGTTGTGCAACCATTCTCACCCTCCTTTTCTGAGTTGTTCCTCCCCCATTCACATAAACTCGCTGCCCCCTAAGGTTTCTATCTAATCTTTCCAGTTGCTGTTGCCAATTTGATCCCATATAGATAGTTCTTAAAAGAGCATAATGCTCAAGGCAGACATTCTTTACTAATTAAGCTAATTAAGCTATGGCTGTTAACAAAAAGGTCAGCAGTTTGAATCCACCAGGTGCTCCTTGGAAACCGTATGGGGCAGTTCTACTCTGTTCTGTAGGGTCACTATGAGTCGGAATCGACTCAATGGCAACGGGTTTTTTTCTTTTTTAATTGTTTGGTCATGTCATGGATTGAATTGTGTCCCCCCAAAAATGTGTGTAGCACCTTGGCTAGGTCATGATTCCCAGGATTGTATGATTGTGTTATCTGATGTGATCTCCTCATGTGTTGTAAACTCTACCACTATAATGAGATTATATGTGATCTCCTCATGTGTTATAAATTCTAACACTGTGATGAGGTTATACTGATGAGGTTGACAAGATTAGTGTCTTAATGCAATCTCTTTTGAGATATAAAAGACAGAAGTGAGCAGAGACACATGGGAACCTCATACCACCAAGAAAGCAGTGCTGGGAGCAGAGCGTGTCCTTTGGACCTGAGGTTCCTGCGCAGAGAAGCTCCCAGACCAAAGGAAGACTGATGACATGGACTTTCCTCCAGAGCCAATGGAGAAAGCGGTCCCCTGGAGTGATGCCCTGAATTTGGACTTGTAACCTACTGGACTGTGAAGAAATAAACTTCTCTTTGTTAAAACCATCCACTTGTGGTATTTCTGTTGGAGCAGCACTAGATGATTGAGACAGTCACATTGAGAACGAAGGTGCATCTGACCCAAGCCATGCTGTTTTCAATCACCTCCTGTACGTGTGAAAGCCAGACAATGAATAACGAAGACTGAAGAAGAAATGATGCCTTTGAATTACGGTGTTGGTGAAGAATATTGAATATACCAAGGACTGCCAGAAGAACAAACAAATCTGTCTTGGAAGAAGTACAACCAGAATGCTCCTTGGAAGCAAGGATGGCGAGACCACATCTCACATACTTTGGGCATGTTATCAGGAGGGGTCAGTACCTGGAGAAGGACATCATGCTTGGTAAAGCAGAGGGTCGGCGGAAAAGAAGAAGACCCTCAATGAGATTGACTGACACAGTGGCTGCAACAATGGGCTCAAGCATAACAATGATTGTGAGCATGGCACAAGACCAGGCAGTGTTTCGTTCTGTTGTACATAGGGTCTCTACGAGTCAGAACTGAGTGGATGGCACCTAACAACAACAACAACATTATTTGTTTGAGGAGCCGTGGTGGTGCACTGATTAAACACTCGGCTGCTGGCTGAATGGTAGGTGGTTTGAACCCACCCAGTGGCTCCGAGTGAGAAAGATCTGGCGATCTGCTCCCATAAAGATTATAGCCTAGAAAACTCGATGGGGCAGTTCTACTCTGCCCTACAGGGTTGCTATAAGTCAGAGTAGACTCAATGGCAACAGGCTTGGTTTTTTGGGTGATTGTTTGGTTGCTTCCTACAATTTTGGAACACAGTTCTTTAACTGATGCCTTTAGAGGTCCACTTTGTAAGCAATTTGGGGAATATCCATCTTAAATATCTTAATGACATGCTCATGCTGACTATGATCAATCCCAGAAGCCCAGCCTTGAAAGGCTTTACAGTAAATACAACCTGGGTAGTACTTACACAGTTAACTGAGAATTTGGTGGTTTGAGTCCATCCAGAGGCACCTTGGAAGAAAGGCCTGGCAATCTACTTCTGAAAAATCAGCCATGGGAGACCTTATGGGGCACAGTTCTACTCTGACACACATGGGGGTGCCGTGAGTCAGGGTCAACCCCACAGCAGCTGGTTATAGTTCACTTTGGGGGTTCACTGTCTGTGTTGTACAGCCTTATGATATTTGACAAACAGGTAATGTCACGTGCCTGCTGTCACGGTATCACACAGAACAGTTTCCTCACCCTAAAAATGCCCTGTGTCCCAACGTTTCATTTCACGAATGCTCCTTAGAAGCAAGGATGGCAAGACTTCGTCTCACGTACTTTGGACATGTTATCAGGAGGCACCAGTCCCTGGAGAAGGACATCATACTTGGTAGAGTAAAATTTTGCTCACCCCACGGTAACTCTTGGAAGACGTTTGATGTCTCAGGAGTGCACCTGAAGTCAGGTTTTATGTGTGGCACGGAAACCAGCAGAAGGAAGCCGTGGGTGTTCCAGATAATGGTCGTTGGCCAGAG